GTTAGGATTTTTGGTTCCAAATGTGCATCACCTTGCACTTGCCCACATTGAACCTCATTTGCCACATTGACACCCAATCGTCCAGCCTTGACAGATCCCTCTGGAGTGCCTCACAGTCCTCCCTGTTTCTTACCACCCTGAACATCCGCAAACTCCAAATCATTAATGAACAAGTTAAAAAGCACTGGACACAGTACTGAGCCCTGTGGTATCCGACTGCTTTCCATCCTCCACTGTAAAAACTGCCCATTTATACTCAGTTTCCCATTAACCAGTTTTTAATCCACAGGAGATCCACAAGTTCACATTTGAGTTCTTTCAGCACTCTTGGATGTATGCCATCTGGGACTGGTGACTTGTCAGTTTTTAATTCGTCTATCAGTCATAGGACCTCCTTTCGTCACCTCAATCTGACTTAGGTCTTTCAACGTCCCTTCCGAAATCAGCAGTTCTGGAATAGGCAAGGACCTCTCATCTTCCACAGTGAAGACACAGGGAAAAAATGCATTCAGTTTCTCTGCTGTTTACCTATCATCCTTTAGTAATACTTTTCCCCTTGGTCATCCAAGAGCCCCACTGCCTCCCTGGCTGGTTTGCGTCTACTAATGTTTTTGAAGACATTTTAATTGTTGGTCTTTATGTTTTTTGCAATATGTTCCTCATAGTCCCTTTTTGCCTGTCTGATCACCAACTTGCCAAAGTGTGTACTCTCTTTTATTCACCTCACTCAGATTAGCCTTCCACCGCTTAAAGGACTTCTTAACTTTTACCGCTTGTATTACTTTGTTCGTTAACCATGCCAGGCCTTTTAAAATACCTATTTGTACCTATTGTAACCTGTGATATACATTTTATTTGAGCTTCTAGGGTTGTAGTTTTAAATAGTCTCCAAGCTTCCTGAAGGGATTTTACCTTCCTTACCTTTTCTTTCAGTTTCTTCTTCGCCGGCCCCCTCATTTGAGAGAGTTGTAAAGTTACAGTTAGTTGTGTTGGTCTTTTTGGGCAACTCCATTTTGTCATGGAGTATTATTCTCATTAGCACATGAGGGGTTAGTGGCGGCATCAATTAAGACCCACCTGGCAGCCATCTTGGCATACCACGAAGAGGTTGAGGGTGCCTCTCTCTCTTTTCTCACAAACTAGCCCAACATTTCCTTAAGGGGCTATTAAATGTTTTCCCTCCTTCCCCTCGCATTGTTCCATAGTGGCCACGTCCCATTGACATTGCCATCCAGAAAGGTTGTTTTCCTGGTAGCAGATACTTCTCCTAGGAGGGTGAGTTAGGGGTCCTGTAAGAGTGGTTGAGCTGCGGAACAGACTGCCTCGGGAGGTGGTGGATGCTCCGCTGGACGTTTTCAAGCGGAGGCTGGACGACCATCTTTCAGGTATTTTGTAGGGCTGTCTTTCGGCTATGCTCCTGCAGAGTACAGGGGGTTGGACTAGATGACCTGCAAGGTCCCTTCCAACTCTAACATTCTATGATTCCTCAGGATGGACTCCCTATTTCTGAAAGTTTTTAATGGGAAAGTAGTGCTTCACCGTAGTTTGGATTTCTTCCCTAAAGTGGTCTCCAAATTCCACCTAGTGTGAGATATTGTGTTGCCGGTGTTTTTCCTGTCCCCAGAGTCTAAAGCACTGCATATCTTCGACATTAGGAGTGCCCTACTCTATTATATTGACAGGACTAAGCCTTTCTGATGTGATAAGGCACTCTTTTTATGTTACTGTGGCCCTAAGAAGGGGAGGGCTGCCTCTTTGCAATCCCTTTCCAGAACAGTGATCCAATGTTCCCTCTAAGCTGTGGAGTCTCGTGAGCAAAAATTCTACTTGGTGAGCTACTGGTATTAAAGCTGTGAGTGAGCGATTTGGCTGCTGCATCAATTAGTTTGCTCTGGAGCCGTCCTCCCTGAGCTAAGACAGAAATATGTGAGCCGGAGGCTAAAAAACTGTGAGCTAGCTCACACTAACTCAGCTCAGAGGGAACACTGGTGGTGGCCGCCATCCATTCTTGATACCAGGTGGCTGGGGAACCTTATCCGCTAGAGGTGAGTGTGCTGTCCACCTGGGTACAAGGTTCTTCAGCTGTGTTCCACAGAAGAGTCCTCCTCGTGGACATCTGCAAAGTTGCGACATGGTTGGCAGAGGACACATTCATGAAGCATTATGCTTTGGGTCTTTAGGTCAGGAAGGATATGGGCAAAGCAGTTCTCAAGTTTCTCTTCCAGTGAGAGCTTCACCCCACCTCCTCTGGTGAGTAGCTTGCTAATTGTCCCAATGTGGGGCTGCACTGAAGATGGAAGATGAAAACAGAGTTGTACTTACTTGTAACTGTTGTTCAGCGTCTTCTGTGCAGACACATATTTTGTCCCTCCTGCCTGCTCTGAGCTCTCACATTCCCCCCCCCCCTTTTCTGACTGTGTGGGAGTTTGTGACAGCTTTGCAGGAACTGAGGGAAGGAACATGTGATGGTTTCAACGGGAAAACCATTTTGTCAGCTCTGGAAGGGGCGGGGCTCCCCTTTTGTAGTTTAGCTGGGGAAAGAAGCTCCATGACTGGCTTGCACAAGCACGGTCCCAATTTGTGTCTGTGCAAAAGACGTCAATGAACAACAGTTACAGGTAAGTGCAACTCTGTTTAGTTGGTGCAATTGTCACATCTAACAGAACTAGTCCATTTGATAGGCAGTAGGCAGAAAGTTCTGCATTTCAAAAAAAAGTTGTCAGTCTTTTCTCAAATTTTGGTACCGATCTATGGGTATAACAACTGAGTTTTATAACTGCTCTTCTCTGATGGAAATATTAGTACTATTGTTGGAACTTTGTAATGTAATATGTTAAAACAAAATAAAAATCCTTTAATGGTGATAATTTCACTTTAAATATCAAAGGTGAACAAATGTACAAAGTGTATCAATAGGCATGAATAAAAACCATAGTATTGGGTGTCTCTGATATTTTAAATGATATTCTTATTATGAATTGATCACTTTTTATATGTTGACTTGTAGCATGTTTTCCCCTGTTCCTTCTCAGAAGAGGTCTGTCTGATTTCTGTCCCTTATAGTTTGTGTCAGACCCATGCCTGAAGCGCAGCTGAAATGAGCTCTGATCATTTTAGCTATTTATCATGCTTGAGGGTAAATACACCACTCATTTAAAAATCATCTAAAAATTAAACTGGATACCAAGTGTTACTTTTTCAGTTTTGATAGCAGTTTGAGGAGGCTGTACTCTGCTGTTCAGGTTTAAATTGATAGTTATAAATATAAACTTTGGAATGAATGTTCCAAGTATTCCAGTTCTCAGACATCTACAGAGTTGCCCTTCCTGCTTTTCCTCTGATTATACCCTGTGTTTGGAAGATGCTGTGGCCATTTAAACGCATTACCCTAACCATGGATATTAAATCTGCTAGAAAATACAGGTTCAGTATTTAGCATGAAGCTAATCTGTTTTTAAATAAGCATGGTAACTCCAAAAGTTTCGGTCTATTTTGCAGACGGCGCAGGTGTAGGGCCTCGGCCCCTCCTCCAGGTAAGAGTTATTGCTTGCTATTCTCCCAAGGGTGTGATGCACAGAGACCACGAAGAAGATAGACAGGTTGCTTACCTGTAACTGGTGATCTTCGAGTGGTCATCTGTGCATTCACACCACCCGCCCTCCTTCCCCTCTGCTCTCGGCCCTTCATCTTGTTTCTTTGAAGGCTGTTGGGCGGCGGTCAGAAGGAACTGGCGGGATCTGCGTGCCCCTCCTTGGTCATGCGCAGTGGAGCCGGCGCGTGACCTGGGAGAGGCGCGAAAATCCCTTTTGCTAGCTACCGGTACCGAGAAGGTTCAGCGCAGGCGCAGTATTCCCAAGGGTGTGAATGCACAGATGACCACTCGAAGATCACCAGTTACAGGTAAGCAACCTGTCTTTACTTTTTCAGTTTTGATAGCAGTTTGAGGAGGCTGTACTCTGCTGTTCAGGTTTAAATTGATAGTTATAAATATAAACTTTGGAATGAATGTTCCAAGTATTCCAGTTCTCAGACATCTACAGAGTTGCCCTTCCTGCTTTTCCTCTGATTATACCCTGTGTTTGGAAGATGCTGTGGCCATTTAAACGCATTACCCTAACCATGGATATTAAATCTGCTAGAAAATACAGGTTCAGTATTTAGCATGAAGCTAATCTGTTTTTAAATAAGCATGGTAACTCCAAAAGTTGTCTTCTGTGCACAATAAGGATGTGGGGTGGGGGGTGGGGAGAGAAGTTAAGCTGGAAACAGATAAGCCTACCTGTGCATAGAAGTAATGAAGTAATCTCCAGATAGTCCATTATATCCCCGTTTTAAGTTATCTGGTAAGGTGATCAGAGAAAGCCTTAGAACTTAGGGTGATGTGAGATCCTCAGATGGGGCTCTGCTACAGTTTTGGTTAACAGTTCATCTGAAATTCAGTGGCAGGGCTCTTGACTCTCTTCCCCTTCATTGACATGTGATGCAGTTAGGCTTCACTTCTGTAGAGAGCCAGTTTGGTGTAGTGGTTAAGTGAGCGGACTCTAATCTGGGAGAACCGGGTTTGATTCCGCACTCCTCCACTTGCACCTGGCTGGATGACCTTGGGCAAGCCGTAGTTAAGAGCTGTCCTTGAAAAAGAGCTGTCCTTGAAAAAAAGCCGTTTCTCTCAGAACTCTCTCAGCCCCACCTACCTCACAGGGAAAGGAATTTGTAAGCCGCTCTCCCTTGGGTAGAGAAGGGCGGGGTATAAATCCAATCTCTTCTTCTTCTGTACTGCAAGGAGATGGCAGAAGGCCTCTTGAGTATGTTGGTATATAAGTGAAGGAGAAGGAGAGAAGCAGAGTGAAGTGGCAAGCTGGGGCAGTTGGGAAACTAGTGTTTCTTTACTGAAGGCTCTTACAGATACCGGAGGCTCATCATCTTGCAGCCTTACTTGCAGGATTAACACGTGTAAGCAATCAGTAGATGTATGTGTTCATCTTTTTTTCCCTTTTTTGTAGGATCAAAGTAACAATGAAATTATGATTGGAGTAATGTCAGGAGGCATACTAATTTATAAGAACAGGGTACGAATTAACACCTTTCTATGGTAAGGATGCATTTAAAGGAAATAGCTTTGTGATCATTGCAAGTGTTCATCATTCAAATATTCTATCCAAGTATCTTTTGATTATTCCAGTTATCTCTCTTTTAAAAAGAAGATTGAGCGCTGAAAATTTTTCTTCAGGATTGTCATATGACTCTAATGTATAATTAACTTTATAGATGATGTCTGTCTGTTTCACTTTTATACCATTTTTCATCCAAGGAGCTCAGAATGGCAGATATGATTGTCTGTTACCTTCACAAAACAACCCTGTGAATGAGTTAAGGTTGTGAAAGAGCGACTGGCCCAAGGCTGCTCATTGATTTCTGTGACAGAGTAGAAGATTGAATCCGTGTATTCCTAGCCCTAGTCAAGGGTTTTAACAACTACACCACAAAGACTTATTTTGATCCAAAAAAGTATGGGCAGCCTTTTGCTTGCACATTGGTAATACCTTGTCTCTCCCCCCCCCTTTATCACTGTGACCCCTTGCACATCCCTGCCCAAACCTCCTGAAAGTCAACAGAGCATACAAAGTGGTGCATGATGGAGGAGGAAGAGGAGATTGGATTTATACCCCACCCTTCACTACCCAAAGGTGTCTCAGAGCGGCTTACAAACTCCTTTCCCTTCCCCTCCCCACAACAGACACCCTGTTGGGTGGGGCTGAGAGAGCTCTGACAGAAACTGCTCTTTTTCAAGAACAGCTCTTATCAGAACTACGGCTTGCCCAAGGTCATCCAGCCAGGTGCAAGTGGAGGAGTGGGGAATCAAACCCAGTTCTCCCAGATTAGAGTCCGCTCACTTAACCACTACACCAAACTGGCACCAAACTGATATAGTGTGGGGAGTGGCAATCGGGGGTTATTTCCTGCAGGAGTGCACAGGAGCAGAGCTCCAGCAGTAAAGTGCCCAGGGGGTGGGCACATGCAACAAGTCCCGCCCCCTGTTCCCAGCAGCCCTCAGTCAGAGCAAGAAACAGCCAGGTAAACTGCAGAACCCCCTCCCGGCCCCCTGGTCCAAAACAGTCCAGTGGCACCTTTAAGGCCAAGTTTTATTCAGGTACAAGCTCTCCCTCCTCTGTGGGCCAGCCTGCCCCCCCCCCCCCCCCCCCAAATAGCTAGCAATCCAAAACAGTCCAGTGGAGCCTGAGCGGTGGGTGTTGCCTTCTGACACACTTCCGGTGATGTCAGGGGGTGTGACATATGCAAATGAGTTATGCTAATGAGCTCCTGCACCTCTTTTTCTACGAAATGACCCCTGGTGGCAATTAATGGGGTAGTTGATGGAATAAACCACCACCCCTTCCCTTTTGTGAGCAGAAGTGCCTCGGCTTCCTAAGGACCCTCCTTATATCCAGGTCAATTAATTTCATACGTTCATCAGAGAGAATGCACATTCTACCACCAAGAGATTATTAAATGGATACTGTTAATTTCTGTTGGCATGGAAATTCATAGCAAACCTTGCTTCATAGGATAGCAACTCAGCCAGTGAGAGCATAGTAGTTTGTGTGAGATATTGATTATTCTGCTCCTCCTAGCAAATGGAACTAGGATCCGAAAGCCACGTGTGATATAGTGCATCCATACATGGCCTTTTGGCCCTCCAATTGGTCAGGGGAACCAGTGAAATGCATTTTGCAAGGCCTAGTGTGGTACTCCCAGAAGAGAAAGTCAGCTTCCTCTTCCCTACCCCCCCCCCACCAGTTTCCATTTGCTTATACTTCATTTAAACCAATGCTTACTAATATGTTGCTGTAACCATATAAACATTCATTTAAAACTGAGCCTTTTTATTACCTCAGAAAGGCTGCGATCATACACGCAATTAGACCCGCCATAGGTGCGAATGCCAGGCAGATTTAAGGGTGCGATCAGACAGCAACATCTGGGAAGCACCCCGCAGCCGTCAGCAACCTGTTCTGCTCCACTGCAGAAGCGGAGTTTAAAAGATGCCGGTAAAAATCTGGTAGTAAACAGGTTGTTATGGGCTGCGGATGGATTTTCCCACGTCTGATTGCTCCAGTGTGCTCTCATGGAGTTGGGATGGTCCGATCAGGCCATCCCCACTCCATGCCGTTGTTCCCCCCCCCCTTCTCAGTATGCGCATCGTCGCACACTCCATAGGGAGCCCTCAGTGCTGAGATGCAATTCATCGATTCCTGGCTTAAGCGCATCAGAAACAAACGGCAGGAAAAAAAACCCAAGTGACCTGCGGTTGCATCTGATCACACAGTGGCGGGCTGTGCTTCCAAGGACTGTGTGATCGTGCAACTGCGGGCCAAATTCCTCAGGAGGAAACAGCCTCGCTTCCCCGCCACTTCAGCTGGCATGTGTGACTGCAACCAATGTTCCCTCTAAGCTGTGGAGTCTTCTGAGCAAAAATTCTGCTTTGTGAGCTACCAGCATTAAAGTTGTGAGCAGGTGATTTGGCTGCTGCATAAATCAGTTTGCTTTGGAACCATCCTTCCTGAGCTAAGACCAAAATTGTGAGCTAGCTCACACTAACTCAGCTTAGAGGGAACATTGACTGCAACCATAGTTCATTTTATGTCTTTTGAACATTTAACTTACTACCTTCACAGCTGTAGAACATTGTATAGAATGCACTGCATATTTTTAGGTAGCTTAATGCTCATGCCTGTCATGAAGGGGAAAACAGCCCTTCAGCTGAGCCTATGGGAGTGCTGCTGCAGCATCGAATCCCCTTTCAGAGGGGGGATGGAATGTCTGAGGGAAACCCAGCAGAAGTCAGTTTTTTTGTTTGCCTCGGCAAGAGAGCAAACAGTTTGAAGGATAGCTCTGCCTAGTCGCCTAGCAGAGTGGTTTAACTCTTTTTCTGGGAGAGGACAGAGTACTCTTGTTTGTGAGGCCTGTCTCTGATGAACAGGCCTTGTACCATTTAGTCTGACTCTTGGAAAGGGCAACCTGGTATGGGTTGAATACTGTGTGTGTGAAAGGATCTAACTTAGCAGCTAGTCAGTGAAAGCCCGTTTGTGCCTGTAAGCTTTAATGAGTATTCAGGCCACTCTCTGAAGCCATAACTGGCTTAAATTTATGTGCCTCAGCCAGGTTTTTCCTTTGTCTACCTGGAGATCTGTGCTGCTGAATTGTTTTTAAAACTAACCTGTAAATACATCTTCTTTGTTATTTACATACCACTCCTGTTTCAGTGATCTTCATGCTTCTTTCTCACAATAAAACTTACCTCATGGCAGCGAACTCAAAGCCTTTAACACTTGCTACTGTAAGAACATCTTGCTACCGTAAGAACATCATGTAATTCAAATCAAACCCAGTTTCCCCAAAATGGTTCGAGGCGGTGGGAGTCCCCTCAGTTGGTAGAAAGGGCCTGACACAAATGGTAGTAACTATGGTGACTTGCTTTATGTGGGGCTTCCCCTGAAACTGACTGGAAGCTCCAACTGGTACAAAATGCGCCTGTGCGGGTCCTTACGGGGACCCCACGGAGGGCACACATCCATCCAGTGCTGCACAAGCTGCATTGGTTGCCAGTGGAGCACCAGATCAGATTCAAGGTTTTGGTGCTTCCCTTTAAAGCTCTTAATGGTCAGGGACTTGCATACCTTTGGGACTGCCTCTCCCGATATGTCCCCCGAAGGGCATTAAGATCTGCAGATAAGAATCTTCTAGTGGTTCCCGGACCTAGAGATATCCACTGCATGATCAGATATCCACTGGAGACTGAATAGTTACTAAGAGGATCAAATTACTGGTGGTAGATGAGCCAGTTACCAGTTTACCTCTACCTCAGTTGTTCCCGTGGAGGCGGATGGTCTCCCCAAGGACCACTGTGATTGACGTATAAGAGCAAGCTCTTTGCAGGGACTTTGAAGCTTCATCCTGCTCTCTGAGGGCATCCACTACTTGATCTCTGTTTGCCAGGGCGGCTTCCGTGTGGGCCTCAGACCTGGCTTCTGCAGAGAGTAATGTTCCAAAAGAACTCAAAGATGAACTAAAGAAGATCGCTCTGCCTACAGTTTTTGTGGCTGACGCCACCCGTGACACCTTACAACAATCGGTGCAAGCTTCCCCCATCATTAAGCCAATTCTAGTTAGGGAGATTAGGACCATTTGTCCATGTACAGTAGGATTGAAATTTTCTGATGACCTATAGTAGGCAAGACAAATTCTGAGCCAGATAGTCTCGGTACAATGTCATTTATATATAAATTGAAAAGTAAAGGGGCTAATACACACCCCTGCTTTACTCCCTTTCCCACTGGGATTTCACTGGTTAGGGAGCCTGAGATGCCCACTTTGATTTTTGCATATGTATCTGAGTATAACTCATGTATGAGAAACAGCATTCTTTTATCAATATTTGTCTTTGCCAATTTCTCCCAAAGTTGGTCTCTATCAATAGAATCGAAAGCTGTGGCCAGATCAACAAACACTACATACAGAGCTTTAGTTATAGAAAGTATTTGTCCAAGGTATATTCAGATATTATTAGTTCAGGGTCAGTATATAGGCACCTTCTTGAGTGTTAGTGCTTACTTACTCCCAAAATAGTCCAGAGCTCAAGACAAAGGGAAATTATGGAACCAGCTGTTTACAACTCTTGAAGACCTAATGCCTCAGTACCCTAGCTCCAAGATTATTTTAAGTAGGGATTTTTAATGGTAGGATTGGCTCGGGAAATCTTGAGACATGTACAGGCACTTGTGCTCAGGTTGCTCAACAAGCCTCTCTTCTAGATCGCTGCTCTTTAGATCCTGTAATTAGCAAATCTGGCTTGAAATTTCTAGTGCTGCTTTCTTTGTTCAACTTGTACATTTTGCATGGGACAAGGTTTGATAAATCAGGAGGTTCGTACACATATTTATCTTCTGTTTAGGGTTGCCAAGTCCCAGGAAGTAGTCCAGTTCACACAGCGTGCCTCAATGACATCACCCAGAAGTTACGTAATCACGCTGGGCACGTTGCAGAGCGACGCTCTAGCAATCGCCTTTAAAAACTCTGGTACCATAGAGTTTTCATGGCGATTGCTAGAGCATCGCCCGGCGACGTGCCCAGTGTGTGAAAGAGAAGGGTTTTATTGTATTTAGCCATAGGCCATTACAAACCAAAAACAGAGAAAAAATACTATAAAACTTAGATAATTGTATAAAATAGAGTACAGTCTAAAATATTATAAAACCATAAAACCGAAGTTATGAACAGTTAATTAAATCACAGCATACCCACTAAGATCAATATTAACTAGTACCCCTCGTGCCCAGTGTGATCACGTCACTTCCGGGCGATGTCATCGTGCTGGGCACATCGGCCTGATCTGGCCACTTTGGGGGTGGGGTTCCCTCTGCCGACTGGATTGGACTGGCGGATTGGGGGCCCTTTTGGTGGGGGAATTCTCGCCCCCCGGGGGGACTTGGCAGCCCTACTTCTGTTCATGCTAGTACAATTAATTACATAGCTGTTTATCCTATGCTATTGGGCCTACTGAATCATTTTGAAGTGGGTGACAGCACTGCCAGTGATCATTGTCCTCCAAAGTTAGTAATAAATTTTAACAGCAGAATTTTTTTAGCTCCAACATCCGAATCCACCGAAGATATGGAGCAGTTAAAGAATACAGTAGCTCTAGCACTGTATCTAGTCTGTTCCCGTCTCTCTGCTGTTTTCGGATCTACCAGTAATTCCTAAAGTGTATCTGGGATTTTCTCAGGATTTCCCCCCCCTCCCCGCCTTTCCTGAGAAAACCCAGATACATTTGGGAAGCCAAAATATACCCCCAAAATACCAGTAAGGTATTTTGGGGGTGTATTTTCAGCTCAGATAGATCCAAATGCACACCTCTAGTTTCCATTTAATTCTGTGTCAGTCCTTTTTGCTTTATATTTCATGCATCATTTTGTTACTGTTTTCAGCTATAATAAAATTAATCAGTTCTTAAGGTTGCATGTTTCTTACAAAATGTAGAGGTTCTCGGTCGAAGTAAATAATTTTAGATATTCCTCTGTGTTTCTCACCAAATTTCTGAGTGTATAATACATCTTCTTCTTGGGAAGTTAAAAAAAAATCATTCAGGCTGGATTGTCTTGGCTTTCTTTATCTGTTGCTGTTGGGAAGTGATACAGTCACACAGGGATTCCGATTGGGATAGTTGTGATACTGACTCATCCATTTGTCTCTGGCCCACACACACTGTCATTCCTCAGGCAAGAGCTGTTGCTGCATGGGAACACTAATTTTACTCTTTGCTGTCTGGTTTACTATATTGCCATTCATTAACAGATCGCAAACTTTATTGAGTTTGTTTGTATGATATTTTAGAGCAGGGGACTCAATGTTCCCTCTAAGCTGTGGAGTCCCATGAGCCAAAATCCTACTTTGTGAGCTACTGGCATTAAAGTTGTGAGCAGGTGATTTGGCTACTGCATCAATTAGTTGGCTCTGGAGCCCTCCTTCCTGAGCTAAGACAAAAATGCGTGAGCCGGAGGCGAAAAAACTGTGAGCTAGCTCACGCTAACTCAGCTTAGAGGGAACACTGGCAGGGGTCCCCATTGTGGTGCCTGTAAGCACCTTGGCATCCCCTGACACCTTTTGTAGTGCCCACAAAGTGTTTTTAGAAAGTGGGTGCACCTGGTGGGGCTTTTGGCCAGCAAGGTTTTTGATTGGCCATTATTTGCTTGGCTGTGTAGATTTTTTAAAAAAACATTGTTTTGGTAAAAGCTGCTACCACAGCTCAAGGATCTTTACTTGTGTGACTGAAGGTAAGCCATGACAACCATTTTGTGGTTGGCTCCGCCTCCTGAAGCATCCATTTTGTTGGCTGTACTGACTTCTCTGTGCCACCAATCTAAAGGTGCCCACAGACTCAAAAAGGTTGTGGACCCCTGTTTTAGCGGCTTCCTTACCTAAAATATTGGCCGTTGAATTCTCTGATCTTGCCTATATCTTCTGTATAACTTCTTGTACGGTCTAGTCAGTAATTTGTCTTTCCTTAGTAGCATAGTAAATAAGTTATGAGCATGGTGATAGCCATTCTCATGGTGTTTATAGAACATGTTTTGACCACCAGCCGTTTTGTTGTCCACTGACAGTTCTGCTACCAGCTGCATGTGAAAAATAGCGACATCACACAGTGGTGAGATTGACATCACATATCCAGTGAGAATAGCAAGCATAAAAGCCAGGACATTTGTCCACCCTTCTCTCAACCCTGATATTGTATGAGCTGAATGAGTAGAAGTGGTACAATCATAGAAATACTTTAAACAAATCAATAAATACAGAGCTTGGAGACAAGTTCAAATTTTACCTTTGACAGATAGAACCATTTCCCCCCATCTGTTCTAACACCCAGCCAAAGCCAGTATTTCTAGTATTTTCTTGAGTTGAAATAAATATATGGCAGAAGAAAAGTTCATAGATTATAGAAAGAAAGAAAAAGTAATGAAAGCACAGCCCAAATTAGTAACTTCTGTCCCGGAATAATAACCTGGTGATAAATATTTGCGCATTAGGGAACATAAGAAGAGCCCTGCTGGATCAGACCAATGGTCCATCTAGTCCAGCATCCTGTCTCACACAGTGGCCAACCAGTTCCACTGGAGAGTCAACAACAGGTCAAAGAGGCTGAGGCCTTCCCCTGATGTAGCCACTGGGATTCAGACAGTGGCCCAATCTGCATCTAGCATTTGCTCCGCTGTCTTACCAAACCCACACTGGAACAGAAATTCCCGTCTACATTACATGCCACTTTCACTTAGATTGAATGTTGCATTTTATGGCAGTGTCCAGACTGCATGCCACTTTCACTTTGTTTGATCTCTGGTTTTATGGTGGCTGTCTGCATAGATTTATGGCCGTTTTATGGTCATTTGGGGGTGACTCTGCAGTCAGTATGGTGTTGGCCCAGGGTAGTTGAATATGGTTTTGAGCGGCATCTTTTTCTGTTCCAGTGTGGGTTTGGTAAAACAACTGAGAAAATGCTAAATGCAGATTGGGCCAGTGACTGCCTCTGGAGGTTCCCCTCAGTCACCGTGGCTAATAGCAATTGATAGACTTATCCTCCATGAATCTATCCAATACCCTTTTAAAGTTGTTTATTCCTGTGGCCATCACTACATTCTACATTTTAATCACTCTGTGTAAAGTAGTGTTTCATTTTGTGTGTCCTGAACCTGCTGCCCATCAGCTTCCCTGGATGCCTTGAAGTTGTAGTATTTGGGAAGAGGGAGGAAAATTTCTCTTTCTCGTCTCTCTCCACCCCATGCATAATTTTATAAATTATCTATGTCCCCTCTTAGTCATCTGTTTACTAAACTGAAAAGTCCCAGACTCTTCAGCCTTTCCTCGCAGTGGGTCGACACTTTCACTACAACCCCCAAGGTCTTTCCCCATCTCAGTTTCAGCAAGTTCAGACCCGTTAACTTTTACTTGAAGTTGGGATTTTTTGTCCCAATGTGCATCACCGTACACTTACCAACACTGAACTTCATTTGCCACATTGTCACCCAGTCACCCAGTTTGTGGAGGTTCTCTTGGAGCCCTTCATAGTACAGCCTTGGTTTTCACCATCCTGAATAATGTTGTGTCATCTGCAAACTTGGCCACTACACTATTCATTCCCAGTGCCATATCACCAATGAATAAATGAAATAGTACCAGCCCCAATACCGATCCCTTGTGGGACTCCACTGCTTAATTCCCTCCATTGTGAGAACTGTCCATTGATTCCTACTCATCACTTCCTGTCATTTAATCAGTTATTAATCCATAAGAGAACCCGTCCTCTTAGTCCATGACTGTTGAGTTTATTCAGGAAAAGGAGACATGGGTCCAAATAACTCTCCTGTCATAATCTACTATATCATGTCATTTCAGTTGTAATCATGTTGCTAGCCAGAAGCTGTATTGTGCTGGGCAAAGGGGTCTTGCATGCGACCTTTTATCCAGCTCACAAACTTTATATCGGGATAAGTGAGTACCATAAGATGGTTTTTGCATGGCTAAAATTAGCTGCCCACATTGGAACCAGCCTGCTGCCAGTTTCATGGCAAGTTTATTTTTATTTAATTAGTTACTAAACATTTATATTCCACCTTTCTTGATGGTTCAAGGCAGTTTACAGATTCTATAAACCTGTCATTTTTTCATTTTTATGAAGCAAATATGCAGGTTATTTCTCTCTGAGAAGGAAAAAATAAATCCCATTGTTCATTTGTGTTTATGAAAGTTTATCACAATTCTGCGGTCTAGATCCAAGACTGAACTTTAGTTGCTTTCACATGCACTGGAGTTGAAAGATCCTAAGCCTGACATATTTTAATCCTGTTTCTTCCAGAGACCTCTGGGAAACAAACATGGTTTTTCCATCCTCCCTCTTACCCTTATAACACCCTAATTCTGAGAGTTAGTGAGCTTCACAGCTGAGTGGGTATTTAAACCATATCTTCCCAGTCCTAATCCAACACTAATCACTATACCCCACTGGCTCTTCATAGCAACTGTAGTTCAGTAATGGTTAGACTTTACTGTTAGCTAGATTAGCTAGATAATCTTCTCTGATTTTTCAGAGGAAACTTCAAGGCAGAGGGTACTGCAAGAATAGAATTTATTCTGTGGTGAGATTGGGATGATGAGTTAGAGGGGTTTTTTTCTATGAATACAATAAAAAGGGTACTGTTTCTGGTTGCTAAATATAGGCATCACGGCCTGTCCAGATACTTTTACATGAATGGAAGATTATACATATAAAGAAACATTACAGCATTCTGATTTTGTTTAATTTTCACTTAGGTTGAAGATTGTAAAAATTTCCTTTAAATGCAAGCAGTTTTTTATTCAACTTAGAAAAGAATTGGTGAGTACCCATCTTAATCATCTGCCATTGGCTGTGAAGTTACAGAGTGGCTTGCTGTTATGAGTGTCTGTTATCATGCAGTTGATATGTCTTCACATGGACTGAAATCCTATTTTTACCATTATGTAGTAATTCTTTAATAAATCGCTGGGAGCATATGTGACAGTTTAAATTATGCTTAAATGTTAGACTATTTTGGCTTGCATTTATAGAATTTCTGAGATGCACGCCTCTGAATCTGTTGGTTAAAAGCATGCTGCAGTCTGTTTAGTGTATGTTCTGTTTCGTTACAGTGCACCTTGTAGTTCCTGTGGTGCTGTAGAAACAATTAAAAATCATTTAACACCTCTTTAGTCTTGATTTTTTGTTTCAAAAGGAGATAGTGTCTAAAATGTATATGTACTGCTGATGTTAGGTCAAATTGTACAAGGAATCATTTAGTTAATTGTACTAGTTATTTGCAGCTGTACAATCATGACTTTTTAAAACAGTGCTTTCTAGGGTCGCCAGGTCCCTCAAAGTCTCCAGCGAGGGACTTTGGGGGGCATTACTGGAGGGGATAGGGAGTCCCCAGTGTGATGACATCACTCAGAAGTGACATCATCACGTCGGGGGGAGGCCGAGTGCACCGGCACGCTGAAGCCCCGAATTTGGTGCATGGCCCTCACCTCTCCCCAGTGGATGTCTTTAAACACTGTTGGGAAGAGGGGTCTGGCAAGCCTAGTGCTGTCCAACACTTAATTCTTCAGGTTATGTACACGGGATTGCAAAATTGTATGTAACTTCTGGAAAACCTGTACTATTGCGGCGGAAGAGTACTACAGTATTTGCATGTAACGCTCACACTTCATTATGCGGGAAGGCATTAAGACCCAAGAAGTTTAGCAAGTGCTCAGGATTAATGAACTGTGTGCCTTGAAAACCCCTGAATCCCTGGAATCCTCTGTAACATACTGGTGGATATTTAGGTCAAGTGCTCTTTTAGACATGAAAAATATTCTCCAAAGGTGTAAGTCCCTTTATTGTTCTTCTTAAGTACATCTTTATAAAAACAAATATGCAAAAACAAATCTTACTAGGGAATTGTTTTTTGCTTGACATATTCACTGAGAGGCCTTTTGCACTGGTTAGTAAAAAGAATTAACTTTTCATAGCAGCCTCAAATACATTTCATGAGCAGGAGACTCATATTGTCAAATAAAATGTAAAACTTTTCCTTGCAGCATGAATCTAGAGAAACTTTACTGGGATTCAACATGGTGAATTATCGAGCATGTAAGAATTTATGGAAAGCTTGTGTAGAACATCATACCTTCTTCCGGTTAGACAGACCACTGCCACCTCAGAAGAACTTTTTTGCACATTATTTTACTTTGGGTTCAAAGTATCGGTACTGGTAAGTTTGGGCTTGTATGATGTATTGATGTTACACAAGAAATTATTATTATAATAGTAAATATAGGCTGCTCCAAATCGATCATTGTTGAAATAGCTTGGTGAGATCAAGTATACATCAATTTTTGAAAATTCCACATTCCAGACATTCGTTAGAAGTTGTTTGGAAGGTAATGTAGGGAATTAAAGAAATATAAGTAACAATCAAGTTCAATTTCAGAAGACTTCTTTATAGAGTACTTTATCAGTACTTAAATTGAAAACTTGATATTTCTTTATCAGTGCTGTCCAAAGAATGTGTTGACCTCTTGTGTTTTATTGTTCATTTTTTGAGTGTCTGATAAGCCCAAAATGGAGTCTGTGATGCTGCAAAAGTTAAATTTCAAGGATGAAGAGAATTTTATGAATTTAGCCAACTCCATTCAGGTCCAGGAACACACTGGTGGGGGATGTCTAGATGGCGTGTTTTAGCCTGCATATGATGATTCGCCTTGTGGGGTGGTGGTGGTAAGGAAGACAGCAAAAGAGGATGGCAGACCATGGCTTATATTCCACCACACTGTGCAGCAAAGTTTTAAGCTTTCTTCAACCCTAAGGAGCTTCCTCCAGTTCGGGCTTCCTCCAGTTTATCACAAGTTGGGAGAAAGCTCAAACTATAGGTCACTATAAGTCAAATGCTATTATACTTGGGGGGGGGGTGTTAACCCCCCATGAATGTTTTGAAGATTTCAGATTTTTCTGAAAATTTGGGGGGGGGGGGGTTTGAAGAAAAATCTGTTTCATGCATGTGTACTCCTGATCCGTGACTTTAGGTATCCGCAGATAAGGGCCCCACTTGGGAAATAGTACATAGATAAAGCAAAGACATCTAAAAGTGAACAATTGTGGTTCTCTGCAGTCAGCATAGTACCTTAAGTTAGTTCTAGTAAGAATTTTTTGGCAGCTATTACATAGATTCTGGAAGGACAGCAGATATATCTCAAGTTTATTTGCTGTGACCTTATCATACCTAACATTCAGTCTGTTTGGGGTTAAGAAAAGAGCGTTGCAAATTCTACTGTTAAGCTTGGGTCACTCAGAGTTGCTTATGTTAATCAAATGAGCTATCCCCATCAATCTGCTTTCATGGTATACACAGATTGTAATTTGTAAAATTCCTTTCAGTGGAAGAACAGAAGTTCAGTCTGTACAGTATGGTAAAGAAAAGGCAAATAAGGACAGAGTATTTGCCAGGTAAGCAATTTAAATTGGTTTATAGCTAATGTTTATTGTATGATGATTGGTACAGATTTTTAAATTTATTTCAGTCTGTCTCTCCCTGTACTCTATCAGCACTGTTCTAATGTTTTGAGATCTTACTTTCACATTACCCTGTAAGAGAGGCTAAAAAAAGACATTTCTTCCTCAGTGTTATTTGAATTAGTCTTCTTTGCTTAAATTTTTTTTTAATCGGGAAGCACTTAATTTTATCAGCCATATTTATATGATGTGCTCATTAAGATGCAACACTAGAGTCAGTTAATATTTGCAAACGTCAGTTTATCAGAGCCCAGAAGAAGGTATTCCAGTCCATGTGTATTGTAAATAAAAGTTAAATGCCTAGCTCAGTTATATATGCCTGTGCCTCTATGTTTACATGTTTTATCAAATATTGTACATATATTCATTTGTATTGTAAAGCTTGTTTTTATGTTGTGATTGTTTGCTGCCTTGGGAGTCCTAATTTGGGTGCATACAAATGCTTTAAAGATATAAAATATAGCAACCACAGTCTTAGTTTATTATGTATTTATTGGAGAGCAGAGGTCAGATTGTGTCGTTTGCTGCCTTGTTTCCGAATTTCTCAAATTGGGATGTACCAGTAGGAGGCAACCAGCCTTGTTTCTCTCAACCAAGGAGGAGTTTTGCCACTCTTACACATATGTAGCGAATCCCATCCATTCTGTTGCAATGAGTAGATTTGTGCCTGGTTTTTCTCTCATTTGATTCACTTTTATGGGTTTTTTATAGGCAAGAGTTATTGGTGCAGAAAATGGGGTGGGGATGTTTATTCACTGGTAACAGCAAAAGGGAAGAAGGCTGGTCAATTAAAATGAACATAGGCCTTTTATTAGTGATAGCAGGGGGCCATTTACCCTTTCAGCTCAGATTCTTCATATAAACTCTTGAGAAGATAGCCATTCGTGTAGTCTAGTGAGATGCAGGGCTTGCTACTACAAACACATCCTGCACCCCTGGGGAAGTGTTTTGGGGCTGGGGCCTCTCACACTCTTCCAGATTGCCCCCCTTGTTTAGCTGCCTTGGGCACTGCCTAGTTAAGGTATCTCACCTACCACTTACCTTTCCTACAGCCTTAAATTTTCTTTTAATCTAAGTGGATTCTGTTCCCATTGCTTAATTCCCATGGGAAGCATTTAATAAAATATTTGTATTTGACCTTTTGATATGAAATATCAGAACCCCTTACATGAGAAAATAAAAACTAACTTCAGATGTGGCCAACCATAAAACCTTTGATAGCGATAGTAGATAAAACAGGGCCTCGGCAGATGACTTTAGTAGCCAAATCGGCTGGTTTTGGTGAAGATGTCCCTTCAGCTGTGGTGGGTCTTAAATTGTTCAGGGCTTTTAAATCAGCAATCCCTGTAGACACTGGTTCAGGAATTTCACTGCTTTCTTTGGATCAGATACCTAGGTAGAGTTGGATGTCATCAGCATATTGATTATACTGTAATCCATTTCTCAACCAACTGTATAGAACCTTGCAGAGTCCATGGGTCAAAGGGCAGTGCAACAATCTCCTAGTTCCACCTTCTGGATGTTGTCCTTTGGGAAGAACCGGAACCACTAATGCCATCAAATCAATCTAAAGGACACCATAGGTGATGGCATTGAAAACTGCTGATAGGTCCAGGAGAGCCAACAGAGATGCTCTGTGTCCTTCTCCTCAGGTTATATCCACTAATGCAACCAGAGTGCCTTCAGCACCAAAAGCAAATTGAAAGCCAAACTTAGTAGGGCTCAAAATAATCATTTTAATACAAGGAAGCCTGGAGTCGTGAGTCCACCACACCCTAAGTCACCTTGCCTAGTGAAAGGAGTGGGGGCAACTGTTGTAAAATGATCGAGATTTGTAAGAATGGCCTTTTCAGTAATAGACACACTACTGTCTCTTTAAGCAAAATGGGCATCTGCCCAGATACTCTGATCCTCTCTGTCCGCTCTCCGGACAGGAATGGCAATAGTTGAATATGTTAGTGGTCAGCATCACATCCCCCCAAATTTTGTCCCCATGTTCAGGTTCCCAAACTGAAACGTACCCATCACAATAGGAGAAGTGGTAGCCCTGGAATCAGCAGGGGGGAAAAATAGTATCTGATCTGGTGCCTAAACCAGAGCTGATATGAGTGATTTTCTATTTAAGATTGTTTGCTGATGTTTAGCAAAAAGTAATGTACCCAGAACTTCCCTCTCGTTCTAAATGCTAATAAAGAAATAATACCTAACCACTCAGAAACGCTTCTCTGGATAATGTTGAGTAAAGTTTATTTCCTTGCCACCATAACTTCCACAAAACAGGATGTAAAATGGGCTTTACCTGGCAATCAGATTTGTCCTAAGCAGTGCTCCCTCTAAACTGTGGAGTCTTGTGAGCAAAAAATTCTATGTTGTGAGCTACTGGTATTAAAATTGTGAGTGAGCAATTTGGCTACTGCATAGATTAATTTGCTCTGGAGCCATCCTTCCTGACTGAAGGCAAAAATGTGTGAGCTGGAGGCTAAAAAACTGAACTAGCTCACACTAACTCAGCTTAGAGGGAACACTTGGTCCTAAGGGTTTTGCAATTGTTACAGTAGCAGTCATCCCTGACAACTCATCTCTCCTACCCCCATCTCCTCAGTAAACCAAGCACCTAAGTGTGAGGGACAGTCAGTAAGAGAGGGCATTTAGGATGATTTTGTCAAGTGCCTAGACCATTTGCTCATTCCAGGGGTCAGCCAGTTTGTTTCCGGGATTAGTTCAATGGGGCCAACACCCAAAGCCATCAGGAAACCATTCAGATCTGGTTCTCCCATCCCTCTGGAGAGTTATAACTCCTTTCCTGGCAGATATATAAGCTGATTAGAGTCATAACTGATTCTCTTGTTTGTTAACAATCATTATGCAAGTTTAACAAGACATCTTACAGATACGTGTGCCACATGTGCATGTTTGTGCATAGGGTTATTTTTTCCCTATTTTGTAAAATAATTGTATTAATGGCTACAGAGTTTTAGCACTGTGTAACATATTCTAAACTTGGCAAATCCTGACATACACACATTTTTTTATAGTGGATCCTCTTGTACCCTGCTCTGCTGTAGGCTTCTTTGGAATGTTCATGCTCCTTTTCTGATAAAGCCTGCAGTTTACTGCAGCTGTTGGATTAATTAGTGTCCTGCTTCATGAAATATAGACTAGTACAGGGGTGTTGAACTCATTCGTTACGAGAGCCAGATCTGACATAAATGAGACCTTGTTGGGCCGGGCCATGTGTGTCATAAAATGTAATGCCAGGTAGCAGGGATATAAACTTTATAAAGGACACAAACACAAAGACTTTTTACTTAAAATAAAAACATGCTTTAACACTCTTGCAATATTTTGTTTATTTAACAGTGTCTGATAACTGACACCTCTTGCTCTGAATTATTGCATCAAAATGTCTGTGCTGTTGCAATCTTGAGTATGCTGTTCAGGTGTGTATCTGTAAGCTGCAAACCTATGATGATGCAGCAGCAGCAGAACTGGAAGAAGAAGCAGAAGACAGTCCCACTGTGGGCCTGATAGAAGCCCTCCGGGGGCCTGATCCGGCCCCTGGGCCACATGTTTGACACCCCTGGATTAGTACTTCAGTATATATTACATACAAATGTATATAAGGAAACCAGACACCACTTTCTTCTAAGCAAAAGCATCTTTGGCACAGGAGTAGAGAAGCACCAAGGGAAGAGGACAACCTGTCCTGCTGGCTGCTTCTCCTCACTGTATGCGAGCTTCTAGATATATCAAATCTGCAACAGTGGAACAATGTAAGACTGGACAGTTAGGATATCTAGTCAAGTGTTTTTCAATAATAAACCTACAATTTAATTTTTCTTTTTCAACAATACAATGTTCTTCATAAAATGCATTCATCCCCCGCAGTTATACAAGTAAATAAATATGTTATGTATTACACACGTTCATTCTACAGGCTTCTGCTGAGAACAGAAGGAAAACCTGTCTAAAATAATTTGTTTAAACGATGGCTGCACATTTTAACAGCTCCTTTATGCTGGAAGATTAATTCTACTTTCGTTTATAGTCTCACAATTATTGAGGCATTCCAGAGATTGTACTGATAGTTTTGCACAAATATCTCTGTTTTAGGTCCCCTAGTAAACCTCTGGCTCGCAGATTGATAAGCGGGATGGACTGGGAGGTTGTCAGCAGG